ACAATTTTCGCTATTTTATATTTTTTACTATCCCCCCACTATTTTAAATTTTTATCAATTGCGTTGGTACCTATAAATACTATAAACATGTGTCCAGAAAGGCTCCAATTTTTTTCCAAGACCAAGACTAATACTGAACGAGTGTTTACTTGGTCTTGGTTTTGCAAAGCCCTATGTTTTGTGTAATGCACATCAAAATCGATAAAGTCAATTGATCACTCAACAGGTAAGTTAGCACAGCAGCATTATCAAACCAAGTTTTTTCAACAGCAACAATAATTTGTATTTCTCTAAAATAAATACAGAGTGGCAAAAAAGTCGCGCATAATACCTGTAACTTTTTAATTACCTCCTATACGGAAAAGGGACCTTAATAAAAGTTGCTCCGTAAATTATTCCCTAAATTTGGTTGCTATCCAGATTAATTTTGTTTTTGTTTTTAAATAGAACACCCTACATGTGATCGCATATTTGGATTCCACTGTGAAAACAATTAATTTTTTGTATTTGAAACTTTCACGTATTTTGAACTATTTCCGGGATGACAGCTGGAAAATTTAATTTAAACCAAAAATCCAATTTTTGAAAAACATATTTCACTTTTTCCTCTATTATATCAAAAAATTATGAATGCGGAGGGACATTCTCGTGAAAAAATACTTATGTTTTACTTCTTAAAACTGTCAAGAAACACATTGAATCAACTGGTTGTTATTTATAATAATAAGAAGAATTATCATTTTTCAGCTGTCATTATTCCGGAATCAGTTGAAACTAGGTGAAAATTTCAAACACAGAAAATTCATTGATTTCTCAGTAGAATCCAAATACGCAGAATAATATAAGGGTGTAGTGAATTTAAATATGCATGTTTATTTAATTCGATACACCCTATCTATTAAGTTTCAATATACTATATTATAAAGAGTGATGTAAAGCATCGCTATAGCTTCGTACACCCAGTGTTAAAGTGCTCTCAAAAAATTGTCCATTTACCAAATACAAGTAAGTCAAATTTACTAAATTTTGGTGTGTGCAGAGTTTTTACCACACTCACGGAACGCAAGAAGTTACAAACAAAACCATTAATTAATTACGTGAAAATTACGCAAAATAGTAACCAAATCTGCACCACTCCAAAAACCATAAGGTCGATTTTCGCTTGCTACGACTATTCAGTAGACAAGAAAAGCTTCCACCGACGGTCAAAATTATGGATGGATTAGCAAACGAAACAAAATTACTATATGATTTACTTCTAGAAGCATTGCAGAAACAAACTGTAGAACTTAAAAAAGAATACCAAGAATCAAACACAGCACTGAAGTTAGAACTAAACGAAGCTAAAAAAGAAATCAACTCTATGCAGAAAAGGTGTAGATATTGAATTAGAGAGAAAAAAAAGAAAAAACAACACTATTGTATTTGGACAAAAGCTCAAAAAAGAAGAAATACTAAATACTCTAAACTCGATTCTGGAATGCGACATTAAGGAACAGGACTTAAACAACATATACACCCTCGGAAAAACTGAAGATCCACCGATAGTCTTGGAGTTCATATCCTTTCTAAAGAAGCAATCCCTTTTTAAGGACACCGAAAAGTTAAAAAAACTCACGCAACACGGAATATCTCTCACAAACGACTTATGTCCAGAGGATAGAGAGGAACTTAAAATATTGAAAAAACATCTGAAGCAGGCTAAGGAACAAAACTGTGTTGCAAAAATAAGAAACTTGAAACTAATTATAGATGGGACCCCCTATACAGCTAATCAGCTGCAGTCTCTAGAAGAAGAGGAAAGTACAGAAAACGAGTCTGAAGACGAAATATTTAAAAAAACAAGCACGGAGAATCCAAAAAATCCAAAAACAGCTGAGAGCTCAAAACAATACACAGCAAAACCAACGGCGGAAAGAACTAACACCGAAAAAGCAAAAAGGAAGATACAATATAGTCCTCGAGCCGTCAGGACTCGAAGCAGTAACAAATAAAAATAACACTTTTTTTGCTCGAATTATTATATTGCAATAAACCTTCATTATTTACTCGGCACTTTAATATTGAATATTGGATATGTTTAGAATCTTTTGATCATATAAAATTTAGTTATCTTTGTACCGAATACATATTAATTTTATAAGGCTTCTGCCATATTTCACTTTTAGGATAAAAAAATAGACTAGGAAATAAGTAGTTAGATCGAAAATATAGAATATAGTTACTCTTATTTAATTTGGCTTGAGCTTTGAACAAAAAAAAACTAAATAAAAAAGAAACACAGACCGTATTAAATAAATTAAAGCAATGGATAGATATCTGCTGGACTTTGATATCTTTGAACCGGCAACCATTGAGGCAAGGAACTTAGAAATGGCAAACAAATTAAAAAATTAAATCAATGGCTTATCCAAAACAACATAAATATTAAGGTGTAAATCAAAGTATATCAAGCTAAATTAAATTAAATTAAATTGAATTGAACTGAGTAAGATTGGATTGGATTGAATTAAATTGAATTAAGTTAAATTAAACTAAAATAAATTAAACTAGATTGGATTGGGTTAGGTTGGATGAAGTAGATTAAATTGGATTAAACTAAGTTAGGTTGAATTGAATTGAATTAAGTTGGGTCGGGTTAGGTTAGATTAAGTCAATTAAAAAAGCGATAACAGAAAAATGTTATAAACAAATTCAGAAAGCTAAGAACTACAGACAAGCTCACTAGAGCTTTGAAGATCTTAGACTTTCATATATATGATATCTTCTATATTTACTCATGCTTTGTATTTAAAATAACATTGTTTTTATTGTATCATTTGGTATGAATAAATATTATAAATAAAAATAAAAATAATTTTTAATAAAGAACATAATAATTTTCAGCAAACAATATATTAATTTTTATTAAACGATATGGTAATTTTTAATAAAGAAGATATTAAATTGGATTACAACAATATAATAATTTTTATTAAACAATATGTTGATTTTCAATAAACAACATAATAAGTTTTATTATACCATATGTTGATTTTTAATAAATAATATAATATTTTTTATTATATAATATGGTAATTTTCAATATACGATGTATCTATATTTAATATAGAAAATATTAGACTTTAAGAGGCTATATAATGAGGATAATAATACTCGTCAACTATTAAAGATAATACGTGTATTAATTTTTAAAATCCAAATTTTCAAAGTTAAAATATGTTTTATCACTTTTTATTATAAGAAATATTGATCCTTACAATGTTATATTCTAATTACAAGTATACGAATATTTTCAAATTAAAAAAAAACGTTTGGTGAACCAAGAAAATTTATTTTAAAATACGATTTACTAAAATATAAAATAACTTTTCGAACATATAAAAATAGTGAATCTTAATACACCATATAGCTGTCCCAAATAGTAATATATATTTTATTTATGATTAAAATATTTTTTTTTAAATTCAATATATTTTTCTTTCGGTGCACACATAAGATAAGACAATACTCCTTTGCATTTTTCTTACGCGGACAGCAAAAAGACTTTCCTGGTATGCCCATATTACTGGGAATACTAATTGTACCCTTTTTGGTTACTGTTATAAGGGTTCCATTTTTTTTTTTTTTTATTGATGGAATTGTTTTGTTTCACTTTTTTTCATTGTGTTTCAGAGACTTGTTTTTTTTTTCGAAATTGCGTCTTTTAAAATCGATTTTAAAATATCCTGAACGATAATTATTTCTAAATTGCTGAGCTCTGATGTTCTTATCTAAGTTCAAGCTCTGTTAGCATAAAGCCTTTTGTTTCTTTTTAGTTTCAAATTTTCCATTGTCACATTAAACACTCACGGTTTTCACAACCGCAATGAATACACGTACACTGGTCACTGGTCCCATAACCTGTTGGGAAATGGACTAAGAAATAAAAGAACTTGTTAATTATCGATATTCAATATATTTATTATATCGAACACAGCGTGGAAAGCAGAGCGTGTGAACTCATAGAAATAACTATACGAACTGACTCAACATCAAGACAAAGAATTACAAACCCTTTCTTAAATAAACGATTCCTCATCTGTCTATCTTACATATAAAAACTATTATAAACACATTCAGTCATCCATAGCTGCGATATAAATTAGCAAAGTATAGGCTAATAATCAAAGTTTAATTTATTAATTTTTGTTTCACTGATATAAATATCAGTTTATCCAACACACTGCTTAGTAACTTTGGCGTTTGTGTTAAAATGAACTACTTTTGTTTGACATTTTGACACCTTAAATAAATGCGTCAAAAATATACCATTTCGTAACTGAAGTTCCCTTGCATCAGTAATAATGACGAACACCGATAATAATATTTTTATGTATAGGTAGGTATATTTTATTTTCTTTCCAAATATGAAAGCCGTTGAACTCTTGGGCGATGAAAAGGCCCTCCCAGGGCCCCAGGCTCTATACTCATAATATTTTGTGAAGGGATGCTATCACTAATCACTTGCTTATCAATATTGATCTTCAACTATGGAGAGCTAGGTATTTGAATTAAATTTATTTTTTATCCGCCATAAATAAACAAAACAAGTAAATACAGGCATACATAAAAATTGATTCCTTAATCAAATATCAATAAAGGGAGGGCGATAAATCGAATCCGAAAAAAAAAACCACCAGCCCAACGACACCCGCCAATTGGATTGCTCCAAATTTCCGGGCCTCTCCAATCGCCGCCGCTCACTTGTCTAACACCTGAAAATCGCGGGGGAGTCCCCGCACGTGCCCAGTTCGCTCCCATTGGCCAGATCAACGTTAGAAGCTACAAAGAAGGGGAAAATTAAGGGCGTGACTAGGCTACAGGCGAAGAACTATTAGGCGCGACTGCAGCGCGTAACTGTTCGGAACAGTTACGTTTAGGATTTTGCTCGTAACGGTCGGGTTTGATTTGGGCCTTTTGTCTATTAGGAATAAATACGCGAAGTTGTGGTTGAATGTTTTTGAAAAAGTATTGTGTTTTTTTTTTAAATTAATTATTTATGTCTGGTGCATTCTGAGGATTTATATGAAGTTTACGTAAATTTGTTTATTGTGGCACTATTGGATCGTTGGGCTGTAGGAAGATAATGGTAATTTTGTAAGTATCAAATCAACTTTTTGAAGTTATTTTTCATTTTCACAACAAAACTGTTCAGTTATTACCTACTTTGCTTTTCGGCTATGCTCTCTTGATGTCTTATGGAAGCGGTCATTATTTGTCTGATACGAGCGTGCAGAAGTTGCGGCAATTCATTATTTCAACAGGTCTTCACTTACAGACGATTATTGATCCTTACGGTAAAAAATAATATCTATTTATATATATATTTATATATATATCAAGTATTAAACTTAATCAGGAATATTGGAAAAACTGTCTTTGAGCGGTTGGTTTTTTCAGTTTGTATCAACTAAGCAACCTAATCGCCCCTTAGCTGTAACAAACTAGGTATTTGTGAATGAATAACCTCTCGCTTGATTCTGGTGATTAAACTTACTGCCCAATTGCCTAAGTTAGGTATTGTATCAGGTTATGTTGCACCCACGCGTTATTACTTAAACTGAGTGAGTTTTTTTTTTAAATAATTAAGTAGGTATAGGTAGGTACCTATACCTATTCTATACTACTTGTCTTATAAGTAGATAAGTAATAATAACTCATCGGATTTAATTTATTTAATGAACTAATTTAAAAAATTAAAAAATATTAGAGTATAATTATTATATTTCTGCCGAGATTTTTGCTTATGTTCTCACCTTTAATCTATCTACCTATATCTATATAAAACACACACAAAAATTCTACCTATGTCCGTTATAAACTTTGCATCCATCCAACCGATGTAGATATCGCCCAATTAAGCGGTTTAATCTAAACGGCAATAAGGCGAAGACCACTTAAGCAATTAGGCACATTGGGTCCATTCATGAAGTTGATTTTAGTCTTTTACTTACAAATAACTTAAAATCATTAACTAAATGAAGTTTATGAATATATACCTACCTAGGTACTGTCAACACAAAAACACTGATCTGATCTGATAATGTCATTCTTATCCGCACAGGAAACTATTTTTTTTTCTACGAGATGAAAGTTAATATTTGAACCTATACCAATTTCAGATATTTTTCTACTATTCTACTGACGTTTCACTATAATAGCGACTTTTCGTCGTTTGTCATTCAGAGCTGGGAATAACGACAAGTTACTGAAAGTAACGCGTTACTTGGTAACTTCGTTACTTTTCAGATTGATTGATAAGTAGGTAACTGTAACGACGTTACTTTCTTGAAGTATCGCTGGAAGTAACGCGTTACTAGTTACTATATGAAAGTAACTCGTTCTCTCAATTTGTTTATCGTCTTTACCAATAATTGACGAGTGAAGAATAGGAAAATAAGTAATAATCCAGAAACTTTGTATGTCAAATAATAAAATGTTGGTAGTACAGAAAATTTGTTTTGAAAGCTCAAAATAATCGTTTTTGGGCGTGCCTCTGCTCTAAAGACAGTATACCTATGCAGACACTGATGGAGACGCTTCAAAGAGCAGGTTTGTCCAAAACCAAGTGCTCTATTCAGTCGCTTAATACTTAATCCGTTTGAATTTTGCAAGAATACTTTTCCACATAGCCGGACTCACAAACTAAAAAAATATTGGCTTTTCATATAGGTCCTATTTGATTGTTTGGACTGCTGTGTTGGTATGAGTCAAATTAAGGAATAACGCAATTTTCGACGTAAATAGTTATTTTTGAAATAACGCGTTACTTTAAAAGTAACGAACTACTTTAAAAGTAAAGAAGTTACAGTATCGCGTTACTTTCCAATAAGTAACGAAAATAAAGTTATCATTATTCGAAAGTGACTGTAAATTTTAAGTAACGAATTATTTTTAAGCAAAAGTAACTGTAAAGTAACGCGTTACTTTTTTCAAGTAACGATCCCAGCTCTGTTGTCATTTTAATAGTTTCTATAAATGGCATTTTCTCAAGCACTCAGTCGTAGAAAGGTGACTTTTAAGCACTAATTGTTGAGAAATAAAAAACACACTAAACACAGATTTGCATTTCGTCTATTTATTAAAAATATATTAAAAATGCAATTATTTAAACTACTAAATTGAATGAATTGGGTTACTCAAAACAGAACTTTCTGCTATTCCTTTCGATAGGATTTCAATTGATGTCCAATCTTGAAAAAAAAAAAAAATCGCATAAAAGTTCTCAAGCCCCAAGCAAAAGCGGGTGGCGAACTTTCTAAGACAATTTTCCACGTTGTGCCTAAAGGACGCTATAATTTCGTAACTTATTGTATTATTATGTAGGTAAGTAACTATTCTCAATTTAGTAGTTAAAATAGGTATCATACGGACGGGGTAGGTTATAATTTTATTAAAATTATTAGGAGTGTAGCCCCCAAGACAAGAGTTGTACCTAGGATAATATCATCCAAGTATACGTAGTGTTCCAATAAACTTGGAAAGAATACACATCATTTATCGTTGCCAGATAGCTGGTGAATTCACTAATCCAAAAGGCATTCTGTTGCATTCATAATGTCACCAAAGACCATCTTTTCTTGATCTGTTGAATATTCTCGGTTCTTGATTGGCTTCAAAATTCAATTTTTTCAATCATCTCAACTTTTGATTGACGTTAAAATTCAATTTTCTAAAATTCCCGGCTCTTGTTTCGGTTTAAAATTTAATTTTTAAATATTCTTGGCTATTGATCGGCTGGATTTGACGTTTAAAAATTCAATATTTGAATATTTTCGGTACTTGATTGAAATTTTTGTATTTGGTCAACAAAAAGCCAGGTTATCTGATAACTCATCATGTGGGGTACCTAAACATAATGCAAATCTCTATTCGCACCCCAGATGATGCCATCTGTTTCCCATTACCAGAAAATCTATAGACTAAGCAAGTAGGACAAAGAAAACGACATAAGAAACTTGGCGGTTAAGAAAAAGACAGAGATAAAGTGGGATAAATTAAATAGTGACGCAAACTTTAATTATTCCCGGCGCTTGAGTGGCCACGAGCTTGAAATAATAGACAGCAATATAAGAAAATCAATAAAAAAGAAAGAGACGGAAATAAAGTTGAAAAGGAAAAAATGTGACACGAATTTTAATTATTCCCGGTGTTTAAGTTGGTTTGTATGTGATTTTTGTGTCTGGCCAATAAAAAGCCTAGAATAGGCAAGTAAGACAAGGAAAACGACATAGGAAATTTACCAGTTAAGAAAAAGACAGAGATAAAGTAGAACACATCAAAATAGTGACGCAAACTTTAATTATTTCCGGCGTTTGAGGGCAGAGTGGCCAAGAGCTTGGAATAATAAAGGGACAAAAATATAAGAAATTGAATAAATAAGAAAGAGACGGAAATAAAATGGGATATGAAAAAGTGTGACACGAATTTTAATTCTTCCCAGCGCTTCAATGAGCTTATGTAATTTTTGTATTTGGCCAATAAAAAACCTAGACTAGAAGAGTAGAACAAAGAAAACGACACAAGAAATTCAATGGTTATGAAAAAGACAGATAAAATGGGATAAATCAAATAGTTTCACAGCGTTGCCGCTGTTTGTTTTTTTTTTCTTGGAATTTTAATATTTCGTTTTATAAGCTCGTGACGCTAGATTTCTGATTTTTTTAATTGTCAAAAACGTCAAGATAAAAAAGTTTACATTATTTTACAACGTTGCCACTGTTGGTTTTTTTTTCTTAGAATTTTAAAATTTCGCGTTGTAGGCTTGTGAGGCTTGTACTTGTCAAAAACATCAAAATAAATTAAGTCCATATTACGACTGTACGTTTTCGTAATCAAAGCAATTTTTGAAGACCCGTTACAAAATAGCTATTTATGCAACAAGTGTGTAAAGTGAAAAAAAGTACGTTACACACGTGCATACAATTTTTTTTCAACTACCAATAAAATATGTGTAAAAAAAATAAATTTAGACGAATACTTCACGCACTAGTGCCTAAAGTATTTTCACTTCACATACTAAGTGCGAAAAATTCTAAATTGACAGTGTCGACATATGCCAATGACATTTCTTTACGCACTAGTGTGCAAAGTGAAATTTTACGTGTTCTGAAAAGTGAGCAGTTTACGCACGGTAGAAGAAAAACATCTTTATAAAGAATATATCATCAAATTTTCATGGAAAATTTGTTAATTTTGGTTGCATTAGCGTTTTACACCCGAATTCTTGTTAGGTATCACGATTTGCAATGTTTTTACGTCTATTTTGTACCATTTTTACTAAAAACTAAACTAATAAATTCAAGAAATGAGATGACATTTAGTGACAGTTGCCAGGGTTAGATGAACCCACCAGGCCCCTTATTCTTGAAACTGGGGAGCAGCGTTCCCAGGAGAACTGGTGTTCCGTCTTTGTTACTTATATTATCATTTCCATATCATCGAGAAAGACAGAACACTCGTTCTCCTGGGAACGCTGCTCCCCTGTTTCAAGAATAAGGACCCAGGATACCGGGAAATCCCCGGTGGGTCGATCGGAGTGTGGGCCCATCTTTAAAACAACAGGGTCTTTCAAGATACCTTCAAATCAAAGTCTAAGAGCCGGTTTCTCAATAGTGAGTTAGTTTTAACTCCAGGGTAAGCGTGTCCAGTTGCAATGTTTACCCTGGAGTTATGCCTAACCCGGGGGTGACTCGCTATTGAGTAACCGACCCTAAGATCAAACAGACGGCCTCAATATTATGAAAGCACAAATAATATAATGTTCAATTCAACTTATGACGCACTCAGGAACAACTCAACATGAGAGAAGTATGAAGTACATATGATTAGTATGAAGTGCGAAATAGTATATTACATACATATTACAATTATTGTCAATTGGGCGCAAATCCGGGACTAGAAGCAAATAAAAGTGATGTTTAATAATTCAGGACTTATTATCTGCAATTTTTGCTCGTAAAGAAAAAAGATGCCAGATCATCAGATGTCAAGATGATACTCCTTCAGCTACTACTATTTTTAAATTTGAGGTGGAAGTACCTACACGATGTAACCCATGAATAACAAAAATAGAGGCATCTTATTCTAGTCATAGAGATATTTGTGCTGATTTTTTATGTTTGGATCCAAACAATTTTTCTGATCTAGTGCTAGCATAGTCTGCTTTGAATAAATTAGGTAAATTACTATAGGATATATGGATTTTGTGGAAAGAATTAAAGGATTTTGGAAGGGAATGGCCTGACTCGAAAAGGACGGAGTTTGTATGATCTCTCTGAATCTAGTGATCGAGATGAAAATGATGTAAATGACACAGGGTTGGATACAGGCAATGAATTAACCAATGAACTATAACCAAAAACTGGAATGCTAACACATAAGGACGAACTTGAAGCCTAGTGCGGCTGCTGCGGAGGGGATACCTGTTTTTGTCGCACTCATTATGTTAAATGGCGAAAATTGCTTCCAACACGTATTCCAATTGATGAAATCTGTGAAGGGAAATATGACAAAACTTTCGAAAACGTCATATGTCAGCGAGCAACAGAAAAAAACAATATTCCCCCTTGTGGCATCTGTCTTTCATGGCTTCATTTTTTTGGCAGATATGGCAATGTGTGCGCATTCCAGTTTTTAGCTATAGTTCATTGGAATTAACTTTCCAAAAAAGAGTGTTCATCACATTCACGTTGCAAACAATGTTTGGTTTGCTGTTTTAATGTTTTGTATAAATACAGATTATGCATCCGTGCTTGCAGTCATCTTGAGGCCTATATGAACTTAAATGAAAACATTTTATAGGATTATTGACTTTCAAGAAGATTCTCATGGAATTCATGGAAATGTTCAATCTAGGAGGCCCCCATTAAAAAAAATATTATCATTATGATTGTTTGAAATAAATAAACCAAAGATGTGATATGAGATTTATTTTTTAATTTTTTTTTCTGCGTTTTCATTCAGCATTTACTATTTCATCACGGTTGTTATTAGATTTAGGGCGGGTATTATAAAACTACTTTGAGAGTTAACTTAAAGTTAATTTTTGAAATTACATGTAATTCAAAAAGTTAACTTTAAGTTAACTGTCAAAGCAGTTTTATAATACTCGCCCTTAGGTACCTACATCTAAATGTGTGGATGTGCCTCATAAATCCATCAATGTATAAAAGAGCTTGGTGGTAGGGTAGCCCCGAAACAATTTATATGCGACGTTGCAATTTTTGGCATTTTCATGTTTGGACTGGAATCAGCGCCACCGCCACGCCACTACAGTTGTTTATTATTATTATCCCGGCCTTTTGAGTGGACACAGAATAATATAATAACCTTTAATAATTTGATTATACTGCTTATGATTTAATAAATTGGAAATTGAATAAAATTGAAACTTCAAATTTTGTATTTTGAAGGACTGCCTTTTGGTTAGAGTGGAACTGGAAACTCGTTTGTTCTCCTACAGGGCCGAAAATTTTTACATATCAAATTCGGAAAAAAATAGTTATTTTTCTAACTAGTGCGAGAAATACCATTTCTCGCAAGTGTTAAAAGCCTAGTACTCATAACAGCGAAATTCAATCTATTTTGACATTCCTTCGACAATTTGACGTTTTATGCGCGAATCAAACGTCAAATTGTCGAAGCAATGTCAAAAAAGAGCGAATTTCGCGGTTATGAGTACTTTAAGGAACACAATTTTTCTCAAGAGTGTGCGGAAAGATTACTCTTTGTGCATGCCAAACGTTTTTTTCCCGCACATTCGTAGGAAAAAAACGGATCATCCTAGTTTTAGGTGTCAAGAAAATGGCAGAGATTATCCTGTTTTTAATCCTTAGTAGGACTGTTTATTGAGCTAAAAGTGTGTCAACTGCTATGTCAAATGCATACCTCAACTCTTGGAGTAAAATGCATTATTTAAGTTTAAAGCACACGAAAGAATAAATTCCTAAACGTTAAAATCTTGTTAAAACCACCTTTTCTTCAGTAAAAATCGACGAAAAAATCAAATAACGAGTACAGCCTGAATCGCAAGTCTTCCATCGAGGTCTGCGGGTGACGTCATCACTATTAGCAGCTGTGGCGACGTCACTCGCAGACCCTGCCTGCTCAAGAATTGGTGAACATACGCCTTATTAGGATAAGCAATCCTGTTTACGATTGTTGTATAAAGATGTCGAAAATTCCAACAAAATCCAAATTTTTCATTGCACAAACAAACTAGCATCTGCAAATCGTTTTTTTCTGACCATTGAAAAATAAACAATTCTCGTCAAAAATCTTTTTCTGTAACTAGAAAACATTACCTACATATTCTAAAAACTGTTGTTTTCGTCACTCGTTAAACAATAAATAAACATTGTTCGCACCTGTTAGGAAAATCTAACCCCAAACAAAATAATATACTTTGAAGTCAATTTGGCAACGTAGCACTCCTTACCTTAACCTTTTAGAATTGTTTTGGGGCTCCCACCAAGCTCTTGTTCAATGTATGGGCTACTAGACTGAAATTTCCCAGACCACTTCCAAAAATTCGTCCAACCCTGACAATTGCCATCAAACCAACGGACCTGTGTACGTTCATAATAAAAAAAAGAGAACCTCAGCCCCAGCCAACTACCAACAACGACCCTAATAATTATATCTCCATAGTAGATACTAATATCACAGCTTATAATATCACAACAGCATCTATTTAGTAGTTTGGTTAGAAGGTTATTCCACATAAGTCCCATTGGCCATTGTTCTTATCTGTTTGAATGATTTTCCTTTCAAAATCGCGCGTGGAAATTGGCTTATTGGTGATCACCGCCTTTAATTCTTCAGACGTGGAATAGAAACAAAGCCAGATCTTTATTGAGCAGTCAGTCAGTCGTGAAGAATAGAAGAATACCTACCTACCTACAACTTTGATATACCTATTTCGTAAACCAGAGAAATTCATTTTCAATTCAATAAAAATAGTAGGTACAGAGTCATAGAGATGCCTGATCCCAATATTACATCGGCAATATGGACATTTTTTTTCCAAAACTGCAAACATTGAATATCTTTTCAATCTCACATCGTTTTAAAATATCTCTTCCGATTTTATTTATTCAACAAAACGCCCTAACCAAACTGGCGGTTTTATCTTTCGTTCGGATTTCTTCTCCCGATCCGATCCGATGATTATCTGCTGTGCGGCACCGGCAATTAATCAACCAGCAAAGGATAATTACACGCTATGCGACAACTCTAATGAATAACAATTGTTTAAAATGTCGATAACGCAGTCGCCCAAGCCAAAAACCCACCCCTTTTCGCCTCGGGGTTTATTCTATCCAACTTATTCATTCTCTTTTTTCCTATTTTCTGTTTTAATAATTTGCAAGAAAGTTTCTTCGTTTTGATTTTATTACATAGACGTGCACTGAAAAACTTAATGTTTTCGATAAGAGTTTTGATTGAATTGATATGAACCGGTTAAATCTTAGTTTCAAAGAAAAAAGGGGTGGCCTAACCGAGTATTTAATTCATCACTTTTTGGATTCGCTATTAGTAATAAATATATTATCTCCCATTTTTTTGAAAGTTGAATTAACATCAGCTAATACTCCTACAACATTGATAATGTTCGAGATAGGTAATGAAATGTTCTTAAAAAATTTGACACAAAATTAAGAACAAGGCATTTGTCCCTAAAAGTCCGAAGGATATTCGGTCAGAAAATTTTCTGTGAAATGAGTTATCAACGAGCCCTAGGACAACTTTGGCGGGCGAAAGTTCATGCAACGGGTTAGTTTCGTTATTTTTTTTTGCGATTATTGCCCTTCCATTTGATCTCATGACAGAGCACACAGAGCCTGACCGCACATTTTTGATCGAGTGCTAGAGTAGACTAACCCAAAATGCTGTTTCAAATATTCAAATTCTATGTACTTACACTATTCTTTTTTTTTCCTTTAGGCACACTCCCTCACTTTCCCCTGGCATGTCGTGCCGGGTAGGTTACTCCAGTGGCGGAGGACATGGGGACTGGGACATTAACGACAGTGCAGTCCCCAGAATTCACGATTTTGATCAGTTTTCTGAATGGGCCGATGGACATTGTCGACTTGTTTACAGGTAAGATTGAGAGTCCATTATTTCATTGTGGAGTACGACAAGCGTAAGTTTGAGATTGATGACGTTGTGTCAGGAATCCGGGATTATTACGGACGGCCCAAATACGCAATACCTACGAATGGAAGTGGTTATCGGTCAGTAGCGTGGGCTAAGGTGACCTTGTAATTAGGGCTTCTCGAGACCACAAGACTGAAATTCCATAAAACTATTTTTACTTTTTACTTCGATATATTTGATCTTTCATTCTACAGCGCCTCGTGCCGTAACCCACTGTCGGACGAGAATGTGTCACTTTTCCACCAAAACACACAATATACCTACTAATCAAAATAAGTTTACTTCATTGGGTTAACTTTTTGCCATTCACCCGATGGTGCTACCAAATTTTAAATCTGAAGTTTCCTGCAATGTGTAAAGTCTGTTTTTTTTTAAAATAATTTCCCAAGTCACAAATTTAGTAACCATGTTGGCAACACAAGCCTTTTCTACACAAAAAATTTGAAAGCATTGACAATTTTACATTGTATTGCCAACATAATGTAATTTTGACTTTTATCTTTAAAAAAAAAACACATTTTATGAAGACCTAAAAAATGTATGCTCTAAAGTACGTTCATAAAGTCTATAGATACACTTTTTCGAGTGCATGATCTGAGAATTTGAAAGCTGATTGGCCAAAATTAGGGGGCGACTTGGGCGACCAGCGCTCTATTTAAACGATTAACCCAAGCAGTGAGCCCCAAAATCTAGCCAATCAGCGTCCAAAATCTCAGATCACGCACTAGAAAAAGTCTATATATAAGGGGTTTGAGGTTAAACTGAAGAATTTGTATTTATCCGACCAAAGGAAACACCACTGATAATTTTCTTTCCTTTTTTATCCCGTGCAAATAAGAAGAACGGATTGCTATACGTAAGTCTAACATAATTTGGTACATTTTGCCTCGTCTTGCGCAATGAGCGTTCTGTGTCTTTTTTTATCTAATGAAGTTTTCGTATTATTACCTCTTTGTCTGGTAAAATAGATAGGTCTATTTCGTTACAGACTCCCCCTTTGCATCACTCAAACGTCCTCGGGAGTGATGCAAAAAGTTGTTGGTTGTAATTGCGCAGCATGGGCATTCAGTAACCTTCTTTTTGCGGACGCTTCTTCCATTAACTGTAAGCTTTTCTTGGGTCGCATCATCTGGAACGTCGTCATCTGATTTCTCTGGTTCGGGCTCTTTTTCAGGTATGTCGTCATCTTGGGTAATGTTAAGGTCTGACTCATCTTGGTTTTCTGATTCAGGAAGCATTGGTTCATTTATATTTTCTTCAGTACGTTCTCTAGGTCGTCCTCGTCCTCTTAAGGGTCTTAACGGAGCTGGGTCATTCGGTTCATCTGAGCAATATCTTCTGATTGCAGAAGCATGATATTTTCCTAATGGAGTCTCAGAGTCATTAACGCTTGCTACTTGGTATGTAGTTGGACTACATTGTCTGGGTATAATATATGGTCTGTCACACCTGGGTGCAAACTTGGAACTATACGAGGTTTTAGCTTGACTTAGAGCATGTACATTTATTAAGACTTTGTCTCCAACCTCAAAGGTTTCGTCTTTTCTTCCTTTATCAACATAGTCTTTCATCTTATCTTGTTGATTTTCTTGAGTATCTCGGGCATCTTTCAGTACTTGTGATAGGGATCGAAGAAATGGAGTAATCTGTGGTATAAAGTTTTCATTCTCTATGACTCCTCTTAAATCTCTGTGTACATCATTTGGTGTCCGTAGCTCTCTACCAAAAGTGAGAAATGCAGGTGTGTATCCAGTTCTTTGACATCGGGACGTGTTCAGTGAAAATCTAATCATTGGCAACATTGTTTTCCAGTTGGTATGTTCTTCTTGAACAAGTATAGCTAACTGAGTCTTTAAGTCTCTATTCTTTCTCTCAACCGGGTTGGATTCTGGATGATAGACGGGTATCAATGACTGTTCAAATCCTAGACAGTGTGCCGTTTGTTGCATTACTGCACTTACAAATTGAGCCCCATTATCGCTTATTACTCTGCGTGGTACACCATAGCGAAGGATTACTTCATCTACCAATGTTTTAGTGCATGCTTCAGCAGTAGCAGTTTTGAAGGGGAAGAAGTCAATCCATCTACTGGCTACATCTTCAAGTATAAATATCCATCTATACCCGTCTGTGGTATCTGGTAACGGTCCAAATAAATCAATTGACAGAACTTCAAATCGTTGTGACTGAATTGGAGTTTGTAATAGACCAGAGGGCTTCATGTTCCCAGGTTTGAATTTTTGGCACTGTAAGCATCGGGAAACGTATTTAGTAACTTCTCTTCGCATACCGGGCCAATAAAATCGTTTGAGTATTCGTTGCAAAGTCCTATCCACACCACCATGTCCAGATATCGGGGAATCGTGATATTCTTTCAATATATCCAAGACTTGGGCTTGTAGTATTACTTGTTGTGGTTCATCTTCGTCGATTTCAGGATCATATCGGTACAGTACTCCATTTGAAATCATATAACCTCGTTCTGTCCAGCGTTTGTAATTTACATCATTGGGATTGGGTGTCTCGAAGCTGTCTATAATTTTCTTGACTTCTGGGTCTCTCATCTGAGCTTCTCGTTGTTTCCTTGAACCCTCATTCGGTAAATCAATGCTTACTATCCCAATTTCAATTTCATCGATAGGGGGGCGTGACAAAGTGTCAGCTATAACATTGGATCGTCCTGGTATATATTCAATTTTGAGGTCATAGTTTTGAAGTGATAGGGCCCACCTAGCAAGTCTTCCACTAGGTGACTTCAAGGAGAGCAACCATTTTAGGGGCTGATGGTCGCTTTTGACAAGTACAGTTGCAGATTCTAAGTAACCTCGGAACTTTTCAACTGACCAAACTACAGCAAGTGCCTCTCTCTCTGTAGTTGCATAATTTCTCTCTGCAGCTGTGAGCAATCTGCTGGCATACTCAACTGGTCGTTCGTCAATTCCATCCCCCTGGAGTAGAACTGCTCCTATTGCATATGCACTTGCATCCGTTCGTAAAATGTATGGCAAGGTAGGGTCTGCTTGTCTGAGGATGGGCTGGCTGGTAAGTAAAATTTACAATTTATTGTAGGCATCTTCTTGCCTAGGTCCCCATTCCCATTTAGCTTTTTTCTTGGTGAGTTCAGTTAATGGTCGAGCAATCTCTGCAAATTTGTCGATAAATCGCCTAAACCATGAACATGTTTGTAAGATGGTAAGCAATTGCTTAATATTCTTGGGAGATTTCATTTGGTGAATACCTTCAGTTTTGCTGGGACTAGGAATAATGCCCTGGGGAGTAATAACGTGACCCAAGTAATGCACTTGATCACAAGCGAAGGTACATTTATTCCTGTTAAGGTGAAGTTTAAATTCTTTTAGACGGCCAAATGTTCTCTGCAAATTTTGCAAATGTTGTTCAAAAGTTTCTGACAGGATAATTATATCATCCAAATATGCAAGTATTGCTATATCCTGTAATCCAGAGCGAAAACGGTCAATTAGCCTCTGAAAGGTTGAGGGGGCATTTCGTAGTCCAAATGGCATCACTTTATATCGAAATAAGCCAAAAGGAGTTATAAAAGCCGTTTTGTCCCTATCAGCCGGTCGGACACTGATTTGATGGTACCCAGACTTCAGATCCAGTGTAGTCATGAATGGAGTGCGTTTAGCCATATGGAGCATGTCGTCCAAGCGTGGCAGTGGGTATCGATCAGGCTGGGTGATTGAATTTAGGCGCTGGTAGTCGATACAGAGTCTAGTTTCGCCGTTTTTCTTTGGTACCATTACCACTGGTGAAGCATAGGCTGACTCACATTCTTCTATACAGTCATTCTGGAGTAGCTTGTCTAGTTCCTTGCGTAAAGTTTCTTTTTTGGGCTCCGACATTCGATAAGGTGGTACATATATAGGTGTGTCTTCTGTTAAGTTAATAACATGCTCAGAATATGGTGTGATCTCAGTATTCTGTGCAAATAGATTTGCGTTGGCTTCTAGAAGCTTGTTCAAGTTGATTCGTTCTGTATTGTTGAGGTTTGTTCCTTCATCAGATCTCAAATGAAATTCACAATGTGTATCCACTGTGGCGAAGGACATAGAAAGGTCATTTTCAGGAACAAAATCATATATCGGGTCTAATTGGTCTTTAAATTGCCACTGGAAACTTGAGAGGTCTAGAATTATGTGGGCTGCTTTAATAAAATTCAATCCAAGCAGTGTACGGCTATTTTCATGTTCTTCGACAGATACAAAACTAGTAGTTACTGTTTTGTGCTCCAATGTTACCTTAATATAATGGAAAACATAGGCTTCTACGAGTCTTTCCTTTCCATCGGCAAGAGTCATGAGTAAAGGCTGTAACTGGTAGGGTTTATTATTTTCTAAAAATATTTTTCTCAGTGTAGCACTGACTACGTTCGATTTAGTTCCAGTGTCCACCAATGCTAAACCTTGTTTATTGAGAATTTTAATGGATAGCAAGGGTCATCCTTGTTGTTCTCGTGCAATAGATTGACACAAAAATTCAGCACCTAAAGTGCTTGCACTAGTTGCAGAACTATATTTGCAGTCAGGGCAGTTGCTTCTTATAAATCCTACTTTTTCACAACCATAACAGACAAGTTTGGGTTTAACTTCACTTGTAGGTTCTGCTGACGGTTTTGATTCTTCTTGTTGGCTTGCGTTTGCTTTCTTAAGCTTCCTACACTCATCCTTAGTGTGACCAATATTCTTACAATAGTTGCACTGGGGTCTAGGTCTTCGTGAGTTGGTCGAGGAGTTGGCATCCTTATTTTGATTATTTATTTTCTTTCTGTCATTGACAGCTTGTTCGGCTTTTCTAGCAGCTTCAATCAGTTCTCGAAATGATTTTATGGAATCTCTGTTGAGCTTTTCACGTATTTGGGGGTGTAGTAGGCCAAACACCATGTCAAGTTGTGCCTCTTCTGGTACTGCAGGAGTACTGGGTAATTTGGACAGTAATGCTCGAGCCTTGCTTATTAAAATATCTGTAGTTTCATCTTGGCACTGTTCATGGGCAAAAAGTTCTCTATAAATTTGATAAGCTGGTTTAGCATAGCCATAAGCATGTCTTAATGATTGCACAGCATCATCAAATGTGGTAATAGAGCTCTTTATGCCTTGCCACCATGTTGCAGCATTACCTTAGAGTAGCATTGAAATTCCTTTGACTGCATTTTGATCGGATATAAATAAACATTCCTTATAGACAGTTATTGAATCGATAAATGCATCAACATTCTCAGTTCGGTTTCCTACGAACCTGGCTGAACATTGGGAGAAGTTTACATTTGTTGGTGCGGGTGGAATGGGCGTTGGTGCTGGATTTGGTAGATGTAATCCTTTTAAAAGGTTTTGTAGAATTTCTGGAGTCATAACTATTTGGTTTATGGCCTGTGAGGCTGTTTCTGGAGTTTCACTTGACTTTGGCATGTTGAAAACTCCTGGTATAATTTTCCCAGAACGCAAAATCATCCAATTGTGTGGTCGGAACGAAACTATCAAGTCAAAACCTACTCAATCCAGCCTTAACCTGACAGCCAGGGCCTTGAAGTCCAGCCCTGTTCTTCGCGAACACGAAAAGTCTTTGAATGGTTTCAATAGTTTACAAAAACACTACTTATAAAATCACTTTGGGGTTTATAGTCCAATAAAGTTCAATATTGCACTGTAAAATAGAGTGCCGTGAATTGTAAACAACAACTTAGGTTTGTAGAAGTGGAACTGCAAAACAGTGTCTACACTCTACGCTTGAACAAATAATAAAAGGATAACTCAAGTTTTTGGCAGTCGAACTGTGATTCACAGGGCTGTGATGCAGTGTCAGAACAAAACCAAAATAGGATTATCGGAATACTTATAAAAATCATAAAATACTTGCAACAGTTTTTGGCTGTCGAACTGTTTACACAGTGTCAAAAGGCAGCAGAAATATAAAGTTTCGAATAGCAATAATCAAAATACCTGCAGTAACTTCTTAGCGGCATTCCACACACATTCTTCAGGCCACGAGTTGGAGCGCCAATTTATAAGGGGTTTGAGGTTAAACTGAAGAATTTGTATTTATCCGACCAAAGGAAACACCACTGATAATTTTACATCACTCTATTGTCAACTTTACACTTGAGAATAGATAGTTGCAGTGAAAAAATAAGCAAAAACTAACTTAATTATTATATTTTAGGACTGTGAACATCAAGAATAAAAGTAATCGAATTTTCTCATTAACCGCGGACATCGTCTGTCTTTTTTCGTCACCCGGCAATGTCTCCCTCTCCGAGCTGGTACTCTCTCCGGCGTTAGGGGGCAGCACCTGACAGAGTCGGGCAGGTCTGGACTCGGTGGTTATTCAATTTCGTTACATATAGACTTTATGAACGGACCATAGTATTTTTCATTATGAGAGTTTTGGAACCGAGACTGGGCCCACCTCGTCTCAGTCCCGAAACATCGACAGTGAAACCATCTCACGAAGCCTCTTGTAAAAAAAATTCAAACCTTGATTGAAATGAACAACTTGAATTTTTCTTTAGATCAGACAACGAAGAAGCCAAACGTCACTCGTCAGGTTGGGCGATGCGAAATACCAATAACCACAATGTCCATATACTGAAAAAAAGTTGCCTGGGTGTGTTGGTTTGTTCAATGAGATGCACGATGCCCAACGGTGACAAAGTGCACCTTAGGCCCGCCATCTGTGATAAAGCGAGAAAAAAACAGCAAGGTAAGGATAATGGTAAGTTCCAACGAACTTCTACCGGCCTCTGATGGTCAAGTATCTGACGATACGTGAGGATTTTATAACTCGCGTCTCTTCATATAGTTGACAGCCTAAGACAAGTCTGACAATGAATTAACAAAAAATTAATTTTTGTATTTAGGTAAGCCTTGTCCAAATCGTCAATGCACCGGCAGGTTGGAAATTTTGGCTTGCCGGGGACATTGTGGGTACCCCGTTACTCATTTTTGGAGACACACGGAGCACGCAATCTTTTTCCAAGCCAAGGGTGTTCACGATCATCCAAGACCTGAAGCCAAAAGTACCAGCGAAGCTAGGCGGTCACTGGGTAGTGGTAGACGTGTACGAGGTTTGGCTGTGTTGTTAGCTAAAGAAGCTGCTCTAGGAAATAAGGTATGAAAAGTGATTTATAATAATGATTTCTTTGAATTTTCATAAAAATAGTAACATCTGTATCAAGTAGCTTAAAATACAAACGATTGTTTGTTGTTTGTCAAGAAAGCATTTCGTATGAGTGAATATTATTTATGGGTGTGTCCATTGGGCTAGCCAATATCTATAAAGAAAGGCAGGAAAAAAGGGGCAAATGGAAAGCACGTTGGTTCTTCTGCAACTGAAAAGTACAATATATTGATTGATTCATATGATAGCTGACACATCTGTCAAAGGTTGAATACAGCGCCATCCATAAGTACATTATAGAAATAAACACTTTAGAACTCTTCTTTACAACACCCCCACGTCCTCCACTACACCATTTCCAACAGTATTTCAAAATCGGTCAAATGTATTTCAAAATAATTACTTTTATTTCAAAAATTGATATTTCAATTTCCAATTTGTTACTTTTATTTCCAAATAGGTATGTTATTTGTATTTCAAACTAATCAAATGTATTTCAAACTGTACCATTTATACTTCCAAAAAAATTAGATGTATTTCAAAATCATCATTTCTTATATCATCAAACACTGTACAGGGAGGTACAGGGTATCTGGTTATAATTTGATTTTTTTAAACTGTACGATATAAACATACTTCATTTTTTAACCAAAGTAATCTTTGAAATAAAACTGACCATCTTTGGAATACATTTCACTAATTTGAAATACATTTGATGCATTTCGAAATAAATTTGGTTATTTTGAAATACATTTGATGTATTTTGAAATAAAATTCATAAAGATTGAAATCAAATTTATGCTTTTTGATATTCAATTGATGATTTTGAAATACATTTGATATTTTTTTAAATTAAAGTTGTTATTTTGAAATACATTTGATGCTTTTTGAAATGAACTTCATCTATTTTGAACTAAAAGTGGAAATGGTGTAGTTCATAAATGTTTATTTGCCATTTACAAAACAAAACAAAACGTAACACTAAATACTAGAAGCAGTTTACAAAGTTTCGAAACATAAAAGTTTCAAAAACTTGCAATGCTTATTTGCTCCCAAAGCTTTTGTGAGAACATCTGCAGGCATATCATTTGTCTGCAAATATTCTGTACCAATCAAACCACTTGCCACAGTTTCTCGTATAAAATGGTGTCGCACATCTATGTGCTTTGATCCCTTATGAAACAAGGGGTTTGACACAAGCTTAAGAGCACTTTGACTATCACTATATAATAAAATAGAGTCAAAAAGGCCTGTCAATTCTCCTAATAAATTTCGTAAATATATAGCCTCCTTAGCTGCCTCTGCTAAGGCCATATATTCAGCTTCTGTACTGGAGAGTGCAACTGTTTTTTGCTTGTTGCTCTCTCAGGACAAGGCACAATTTGAAAGGGTAAAACAAAAACCTGTGTTATGACTTCCTATCAAGAGAATTGTTGCCCCAATCAGAATCTACAAATCCCTCCAATTTTTTCGAACTTTTTTCATATCTCAAACAAAAATTTTTGGTTTTTTGTAGATACCTGAGAATCAGACAATTCCATTGGCCGACCTAAATATTATTAAAAATAATGATGCAATTTCCTTAAAATTTTTATCATTTTAAGTTAAAAAAAATCGAATAATTATGTCGCAATATCCTGATTTATCGAGGTCAAAACATTATTGATTCAAGAATGCCATAAATCATTTATAATTATTGGCCTCGCTCTTTTAAGTTCATTGATTTAGGAGATGACACAGGCTTGATGACGAAACACCTATAATATTAAACGTTAATTTATTCCCTCAAGGATATAAGACTTCTGATCAAACCAATTTTTCCTGTGTCTGCATAAAGCTTGCTGATTTTGTCCCAAACGTTTTTGCACGTGCCTGCGTCTTTGACGTGTACGTACAATGATGGATCAATAGTCAGGATCAATTTAGCTTTTGCTTTTCCAATCAACACAGTGTCGGTCTCAGTACTGTCAACACATTTCGTCAATCCTTCAATCACGAAACAGTTTTCCACGGCAAACGACCACTCTTCATAATTTTTTCACCCGAGAAGCTTCGGCACACTCGCGAGCTAATTAACCGACATTTTCGCACGAAACTGAAACGACTTGAATTGTTCAAATTACACCCGATTTTTACACGCGGAAAAAGCTATTCCTGGGCTTTAACTTATAAATAAAGGCAGGAAAAACGGGAAAATGAAAAGCACGTTATGGTTCTTCTGCAACTGAAAAGTACAATATATATTGATTGATTCATATGATAGCTGACACATCTGTCAAAGGTGGAATACAGCGCCATCCATAAGTACATTATAGAAATAAACACTTTAGAACTTTTCTTTACAACAATATCATTTTTCTCTAGAAACTAGAGTAGTATTTTTCTCCATTCAAGTTTTAGTTTATGTTTCATTTTCACATTTTCTCTATGGAAGTATAGGTTTTTTTTTAGGTATGTTTCGATTTTGCCCCAGTGTAATAATGCTTGTTCCGAAATTAGTTCAAAATGTCTAGATTTCTCCTATAATCCTTTATGACGTGGACGCTATGACTCATTAGAGAGTTCTCGTGCCTCAGACGCTCAATAAAACGGTACCGCTAACAGTACGGTATTTACAAAAATCCTCTTATCCCTTATTCTTTTTACGTTTTGACAGCTGAGTTGAGTGATCTAACCCCCTTTTTTTTTTGCTTGTTTTCTAACTTATTATTTATCCTAAAGATTCTGAATTTGATTAATTTTCACTTGGGGTTTTTTATGGTCTTTATGGAAGAATAATTAAAAGTAACTGTTCTTGCAGATGTAAATGGAGCGGAAACTAATTTTGACATAAAATAGCGTTACGGTAAGGCATCCGCTAAGTCCCGTTAGATAGCGGGCTCCGTTAACGTAATACCGTAAGAACTGTCATACCTGTCAAATAGCGTTACGGTATTTGAAATTTGGACTGCACGAGAACTCTCTATTGTAACCTAAAATAACATCTTTTTGGTATTCAATTGTGAATTTTCCTAAACAATGTTACATGTTAATATTTCTATTTATATATAGGTGAGTGCAATCTAAAAACTCCCAACCATCACAAGAGTTCACTTTGCACTCAAACTGCTTATCATTTCGGACATTTCGAGTCGTAAAATTTTCTCCTTTGTTTCCCTTTATTACTTTATCGAGCTTAAATCTCGTTTTCCGCGTTCGATTCCTATCTTCGAATCCTATTATATTACGATAGGCGCTTTTATGAGGGAAAAGAAAACGCAATTTATTGGAGAGATATCGAGATTTATCCGTTTAATGCATCAATCGTATTGTTGGTTGTTGTCCCGCCCCTGGTTAAACCGCTTTCTGACACTGCCTCATACCACGACCACTCGAAGAAATATTGAGGAATTTTATCAAATATAGAATTGGTTAAAAGCATAGAATAATAAAGATTAGATTGTTAGAAAAAAAAGATTTTTGATTTGCGTTTTTTATTTAAAATTTTAATTTTATCACACCCAGAGGGGTTGCTCCTGCGTTTTGCTTTGTAAAACTTTGAAGAGAGGGAGGCACACTATTCTTACTTTCTTGTCTTGGTATCTGAAACCTGCAGTGTTGCCAACCGTACTATAATTATAGTATTTATACTATAATTGAATGGTTATGTACTATGTCCTATCAAAGGTCATTATAGTACGCCTAAAATTCTGTAATTATGCATTATCAAATTATTTAGTTTTTTACTAGAAAATTCTTTATTCCAGTTCTCCTTAGCCTATTTTAAATCCTAATTTGTTGGCTGTAAGCCCTTAATCTATTCACTTCTTAATCCTAATTTGTTGCCTAATAGCCTAATCCTACTTTCTATTAGCAACAAGTTCTTTTCACGTGGCTCCGGTTTAAACTAACCCGGTTACAAAGTGACGTGATGGATACCTACTACTCGAATTTGAGCGCAATGTTGCGGTTTGTTGAACCGGAGCCACGTGAAAAGGGTTATTGGTTTCCTAATGTGTTGGCGTGCAAGCCCTTATGTCTAGTCACCTTTTTTCTTTTTCTTTTTTCAGCTGAATAGGCTCTGTCGTTTTAGTATTGATAGAGCATGTATTTTTTGACAGTTGACTTTTTAAATGTCAATTGTCAAAAGTGTTAGTTCAGTGCTTTTTTGGTAACTGGGTTTACACCAGGGATGTGCGTCTACACGTAGACTTTCATTGTCTACTTTACGTGTAGACAATGTAGACAATGTAGACAACGTGTCAACAATGTAAAATAATATAAATGACGTTTAATTCTAACCTCACACTTTCCTTTTTTTAAATTATTTTTATTTTATTATTGGTTTTCCTGATATTTTATAATCAGTGAATGCTGATATCGAAGTGATAGTGATAGTATAATAACTTTTGATAGGTATTTATTTTCGATTTTTTTAAAATAAGTTATTGTTTACGCCGGATGTAGACAGTGTAGACAAATGCTCACGTAAACAATTTGAATTGTCTACGCGTAGACAATCAATTGTTTACGTTGACATTGTCTACAGGCACATCACTGGTTTACACTGTCAATTGTCAATTTCATTGATTTTCCTGAGCGGGTCCTTTTTTTATACCAAAAAAGATGTTATCGAACGCACCCCTATTAATTTTTAAAATTATTTTTAATTTTTTTGTTTTTCGTGGGAAAATTTTAAAATTTCAGTGTGATGCGCTGATACGTCTCTGATTTTCTTTTTTTTTGTCCAGAAAATGTTATAATTTTCTCTTGAATAGTTTTCCAGAGAAAAAATTCAATGTTAAATGGTGCATTTATGTCTAATTTAGTTGATTTTCATTGATTTCCAATGAGGTTATTTTCCATTTGAAAAATTTAAAATTTTACTATGATACGCCCCTGATTTTCTAATTTTTTTCCAGAAAACTTCATAATTTTCCCCTGAATAGTTTTCCAGAAGAAAAATAAAATTTTGGATGGTGCATTTATGCCTAATTTAGTTGATATCCATT